GACAGCATTGAGTCTTATTTTTTTTTGTAAATAATACTCATCTTTAATTAGAGAATATAACTGTTGTTTTCCCATGGATTTACTATTTCATATCTTTCCTTCATTCTGTGTGCCTGAGTTTGTGTTTGATTTCATATAATTTTCCTTCCACCTGAAGAATTTTTTTCAACTTTTCTTGAAATGCAGGTTTGTACAGCAGGCAACTTATCTTCTCAGCTTTTCTTTCTGGGTGTTGTTTCTTTCTGGGTGTTGTTTGTTGTTTTCTTAATTTTTGAAGAATATTTTTTTTGCCGGTCATAGAATTCTGTATTGATGTATTTTTCTTTTAGTGCTGTAATATGGTTTGTATAGTTTCTGGTCAGAGTCTGCATTTATTATTATTATCTTGTAGTAGTTTTTAAAATTTTGATTATGCCTTGCTATGGACCTGAATGTATGAAATGTGCAGGTATGTGGATGTTTATTTTTGAGGAGGTTTGCTGAGCTTCTTGAATTTGGAGAGGGGGAGATTTTAGAGTTTTCATAAAATTTGCAAAAATTATTTCTTCAGTTATCTTTCTGGCCCTCTCCCAACTATTGTATTCTCCTTTGGCTCCATATATTAGACTCTTTGATATTGTTCCATAAGTCATTAAGGCTGTGCTTTTAATTTTTCCCAATTGTTTTCTCTAACTACTTTTGGACATATTCTATTTTCATATCTTCGATTTCACTAATTTTTTCTTTCACCATATCTAATCTTCTATTAAATCCCTTCAGCAATTTTCTTTCAAATATTAGGGTTTTTAAAAAAAAATTTCTGGAAGTTACTCTTCCCTCCTTACTAAATTTTTATTTTTCCCTTAAAATTTTAGTTATAATTCCTTTTCTAATAATTTTATTATCTCTGTTATCTTACAGTCTATTTATCTTAGAATTATTTGGCCTTGGAATGCATCACATTTCCTGCTTCTTGTTAAGCCAAGTAAATTGTTATCAAATGCTGAATTTTGTCATTATTAGGTTGTTGAATATCTAGAATTTCTTGCCTTCCTTTAAAGAGAAGATCCTTATTTTAGAAAGCGTTGGAGCTTTGTTTTCATAACTTTCCAGAATGATTCTGGTATTGCATTTAGCTCAGGTCTACTACTAAGGCATTACCACACTGAGATCTCCACTGAATGCCTTGGGTGATCACTAAGGAATCTCCAATTTTCCTAGCCAGAGTTCAAACATTGCTTTTTCCTGGGTGAATTCTGGAAATTGTTCTTACAACACCCCAGGTATCTTTGCCTTGTGGGGCTTCACTCTACACAAGTGTGGCATAGGACTGAGCAAAGATCCCTATGCAGATTCCCTCTTATGTGTGGATCCTCCTTTTTAGAACTCTGTCCCAAACTTCCAGAAATCTTAGCTTTCCTGAGCTTTGATCTTCTTCAACTCAGTGAGGCTACCAGGGATTTTGTATGCCTTTCCCAGTCTGGAATTTGCCTTTTGGATAAAAGCTAAGATTTGAGGGCTTGTTTTTTTCCCTTAAGGATCATCGACTTATGCTTCCTGTTGTCCAATGTCTGAAAATTGTTCTGTTACATATTTTGCCCAGTTTTCTAGTGATTATAGGGAAAACTTTTGTCTAGTCATTTCTGTTTCATCACGACTATAAGTGGAAATTTGGAATGAATGACATTGTGAGTTGAGGCAGTGCAGAAAGAGGTCCAGATGACAAAGCACAGCACATCATTGAGGGGAGGGAAGTGCTCTCCATTTCTGAGAAATGATTATGGCTTTACCTACTGAGGACTGTCGGGAAGGAAGTGTGTTTTCTCACTTCAGTGGTTTTCCACCTTCAGGATGGAGCCACACCACCACCCTTCCAGTGGGAACCAGGGAAGGCATATTAGGGAATATTAAACTCTCAGAAGTGGATATTTGGGCAGTTGATTGCATTGGATGGTTATAAGAGTGTATACAGGGTGTAATGAGTGCACAAGGAGGAAACACTGCTGTTGGAATGGCAGACAAACCTATAGCATTCAAAACAGATCTTCCATGATAGTATTCCCATCTTCAAACATGGGTTACCCAGCCAGAAAAGATACCGTTCATTTTATTTACCCAATGAGGTACAGACAGTGGTCTACTAAAATGGCTTTTTGTTGTTGGTGCTGTTGTTATTTTTTTATCTTTAATATAGCATATTATCATTTTCCAGTGTGAAAGACCACCCAGTGAAGAGTTTTCCAATGTGCTCAGCAGAATGATGCGGATACAGATACATTTCAATGCTCTGTCTGGTTACTGGACTCCTCTGCTTCTTGAATACAAATTTCTCATAATTCCAAATGTGAAGTTTTATAAGCAAATAGAGAAATGCAGTACAAAATTAAAGAAAATGCAATACAAAGTTAAAACAGGAAAGAAATCCATGAGCAGTTGTAACACATTTTAAAGAAAACCCTAGAAAGTACAGAATAGGACCCAGTGGCAAACTTGAATAATTCAAATGGTCCGATATTGGCCATTTGAATAAATCAAACAGGTTTCCACACAGCTACACAGCTATCACCTAGGTTCAGTGGCCCATCTTCTATATCTCATGACACATCTGCTTCTTTATGGAAGCATACTATTAGAAAACACAAATAAAAAATTTTTGCAGTGTAGATTATTCCCTATCTATCCTATCTCAAATTACAAAATGCCTCTCCCCAACCCCTATACAATAAATGTGAGTGTGTGTGTGTGTGTGTGTGTGTGTGTGTGTGTGCATGTGTGTGCATGTGTGTGTGGACATCTGGAGCGGAGGTTGCCGCTTTGATTTACTCAGCAGGTATTGATCTCTCTATCTGCTAAATGTGTTAACCTCAATGGGAATTCAAAGTACAATATTAATTCCCTCCCTAAATAATGGTTTCCAGCATATGAAAAAGCAGAACTCAGCAGCAAAGAGGATGTATTACTTATAATGCGAGCCGGAAATATCCCTCCGGCAGTAAGATTCAAGCCATGCTTTTTCTCACCTCGAATGGATTTCCAACCCGATTTTGTCATGCACAGAATTGTGCTGTGCAGCACAGCCTGAAAACACTGATGACAGTTGAAAGATCAGCAGTTTTCCAGGGAACATGGGAATGTGCTACTACAGATGATCTCACGGGCAACAGAATCAGTTAAGTGCCCAACTAACAAAAAATTTTAATTAAAAACTGAATAATTATGTTTCCATCTGCAGAGCCTAAGGACAGCCCACAGGGAGGGTAGTTTCTTCCATCATGCCTCTGGAGGACATATATTTGAACATGCCCAAAATAGAAAAGGCAAATTGGAATACATATGCTTTAAATAGAAGGAGCTCTTGTAAAATATGAGGAGAAAACAGCATTTCAGCAGGGCTTTATTGACTCCATTCCTTCCAGGATGTCAAGACTCCTTTCTGTGGAAGTTCTGCAGTCAGCAAGCCTTTCCTTCTCTCTTCCTTCATCTTGTATTCAGCGAAAAAAAAAAAAAATAAGAACATTATTTCTGTATTATGCTAAGTGTAAGAACCCAGCTTCAAATGAATACCTTGTATATTTTCATTGATGTGACATTTAAGAAAAGGCAAAAATATAGGAACAGAGGACCATTAAGCAGTTGCCTAGGGTTGGAGGGAGGGGAGTCTGAACACACAGGGGCAGTTTGAAGGTATTATGTGGGATGTTAAAATTGTTCTTTTTCTTATCTGCAGGACTTGTTACAAGAATCTATGCATGCATACACACTCATAGAAGTGTACATATTCCCCGAATAGAATTTTACTGTATTGAAAGAACTGACTTAAAAGTTACTTGAGTGACTATTTTGTACCAATACAACAGTAAGATTCTACTTGTTATAAAGATGCTGGTATTCAGCATCTCATCTACAGTCATCACCAGCACCGTTATGACATCCATCATCAGAGCATTATTATTTCCAGTGTCATGACAACATTGTTACTTCCCCCATCTAGGCTCTCTAAGCTGCTTACCTAAATAATACAGCTCAAACTACAGCAATTCATGGCTGCTGTGGAGCATCCACTCTTCCCATGTCCTTGATTGTCATCTCCTTTCTCTAGTGTTAGGGGTCACTATTTTAAAATCCATAATTAGAAAGATACATAAATAGTAAGATATTTTTTTCTCTTACATCAAAAAGGTATGACGCATCATCAGTTATTTTCCCTTCATTATTCTTTCCTTAAAATAATAATGAGTAATGGTAAGGAATTTTCATTATTTGCTCATTTTTGAAACAAGGGTTTGCCTCATTGCTGGATATCAATGATGCCATGACGTAAAGGAGTCTAAAGTTAACTGACACAGATTGCTCCTTCCTTTGTTCTCTCTGGTTTCCTTCCCTTTTGCCATTTTCAAGTTGTTAATAAAGGCTGGGGGTAGCATTTTATTTTTGAGCGTGCACTGTTGAAACAGAGTGTTGTCCACAACTCATTGTCGACATCAGAGAGAAAAGACTTCCCACTTGAGGTTACTGGGGATCCAGACATCCATCCACAGGCCTCTCTAATGCTCTCCTCGAAACCCCTTCCTGAAGCAAGCCATTTCTTTTTGGCTGTATTTCTAGGAATGGGAGGGTCCATGCCATTTCTTCCTTGATACTTGTAAGTCCTGTATTAGTAGCAAATACCTAAGGAAAACAACAGGGAAGGAATCGTCCTCTCATGAAGTGTCTTGGGATCTCTCACCAAGGATCTCTGGGCATTTGCCATACTGGCTCTTAGTGCTAAATATTTGCATCTCTACCCTTGAGAACAGTAAGCTCCTACCTCTTCTTACCTGTGTTCTATCCCCTGTTATCTTACCCTTCCGTGACTCCATTTATCCCTCTCTATCAAAGACAGTTTCTCTTATCAAAGACAGTTTCTGACCTCTATTTTCCAGTTTCCCAGTCCCAGACATTGACTGAGCCGCTGTAAGATTTCTCTTTGCTTACATTTCCCATCTTGCATTGGTGGAAAGTGAACCTCATTTTTCTTCCAGATCCTCAGTCATACTTTCCAAAGGAAGCATCTTCGATGATTTCTTGGATATCCTTCCAGAGTTTTCCCTGTATATGCCTGCTCTATACACACAGGTAAATCCCACTTATGAATAGAAACATATTCTCCATATTGTCCTATGCCTTGAATTTCCCTTAACAAACTTACTGATCTTAATATTTCAAAAATAACAATCTTTTTAAATAGCAGCATAATTGGCACATACCATAACTTACTAATCAGATATTTATTTACTGAATTTAAGTTGTTTGCTTTTTAATGATGTTGTTATCATACACTATGCTGCAGTGAACATTTTTGCGCTTGTATTTTTGCAGACTGATGCAAATATAATAGTTGAAAAAAATTGAAGTGGAATTAACTGCTGGGTTAACACTTTTTCTTGGTTCTTCATCACAGATTTCATTAAATTGCCTTCCCAAAATGTGGTATCAATTTATATTCCTAGCAGAGGATGTGAAAGCTCCTGATTCAAATACTGCATCAAGCCCATGTCTTATCAAACTGTTAATTCTTCACTTCTCTGTTTTTTTTTAAGTCTGTAAATGGTAAATTTCATGACTTATTTAACTTGTTTCATTTAGGTATTAGTCATAGTAATGATCCCATGGTTTCAGTTACCCCCAGCCAAACCTGCTTTCCAACTTTCAGTTACCAATGATAACTAGAAATATTAAATACTGGGAATATTAAATGTAAAATTCTAGAAATGGACAATTTATAAATTTTAAATAAATCATATAATTGTTCTATTTTATTCGTTATTGTTTGTCTCTTGTACCTAATTCAAAATTAAACTTTCCCCATAGTTATGTATGTACAGGAAAACAATAAAGTGTATATTGGGTTCTGTTCTATCCACTGTTTCAAGTATTCCCTGGGAGTTTTGGAACATATCCGCTTTAGATCATGGGGACTACTAGGTAAGTGAGATCCACATCCTTAGGTATAATTTTGGTGATTTCTTTTTCTGGGAACCATATTTTTGCCCATTCTAGGATTGAGATTTTGACACTGGATCTTTAGAAAACTGATCAAGTGGTTGGGGTATGAGCTCTTCTCTGCCTCCTCAAGCCCTAACATGACCCACCACCATTTCTGCTCTTGTAACCGATTTCCAGGACAGAAGCAAGGGTTACTTTCAGGTAAAGCTAGACACTTCTCCACTTCCACCAGAAATGTGGCAAAGGATCTCCCTACTATCCGATTTCCCCGGGCTTAAGGAGGGAAACTGTCCTTGCCATCACCCCCAACCAACTACCCAGAGCAAGTCAGGGGAGGCCCTCCCATCTCCACTGCATGTAGCTCTCACGTCCTCTCCCTACTTCTTCTCCTCCCCCTCCCACAGGATGAGCCTTCATTTGGCCTGGCAGAGGCAATGGAAACCTAATTCAGTCGATTCAATTTGCAGCAACCAGTTTGTTGAACCAACAGGACTTGTGACGTTATCTAAACACAGATTTGCTTTTATTTCCTCCATCTCTTCAAACTTTATTCTGCGTTGGTGATCTCCACCAGGATAAGCATTCTGGCAGGGCTTTGTGTTTCAGGGTTTCTCTTTTGTAATTAACCCGCAGTCACTTTCGGTCATACATGCCATCATTTTGTGATAGTTAAAACCCCACCTGACTCAGACCTCATTCTCCTCCCTGCCCCCAGTTGCTTCAGTAGAGAAGGTGGAGCACTATGGGGTCCTGCAGCCCTGCCCTCCCCTCTTGCCTCCTCCATGGCTCCTCACGCTCTTCACCCATAAGACCATATGCTCTGGCAGGAAGAAGATGCCAGGGGCACCTCGGCTGGGCAGTTTCACACTCTCAGGAGCTGACGCTTGTTTCCAACTGGCCTTCCAAGATGTCCTCCTTCTGAGGCTCTTCCACAATACCCCTAAGGATGCCACTCTGCTCCAGGTGGTCTCCGATCACCTTCCCCAGGTCTTGTACCTTCTCACCCTGTGCCACCCACGGCAAGCCCTGCCTAGCTGCCCTCCCTGGGGGAACATGTGCACCATGGCAGCAGGTAGGTCTGCCTGCAGCGGCCCCAACCCAGAAGGAGCCCCTGTGTTCTCTCCTTTAAAATCTCCCAGGGGGGAGTGTGGCAACCACCGTGTTCTGCTTTGGTTGTCTCTGAGGTCTTGGGCACTGTGTCTCCAATGACCCCAAACAGAATCCAGAAATCCCTATCCAGCCAAGCTTAAGGAGAGAGGACAGTGTCAAATATAAATAAACATGGGCTCTAGTTAAAGTGGGATGAACAGGTATGGGGCTCAGGGCATGCTACGCCAAAATATGGCACCCAGCATTTGAGCAGAAGCAGGAAGGACTCTCTGGCCTCCTCCTACTTTTCGCCCTGGAATCCTCTGATCTTCCTCCCATGATAAGACCCTCATTGGAAAGATGCCTTCCTACAGCAGAGGAAAGAAACATCTTAACCTCTAAAGAATTACGGATAGCCGGGAAGAATCTGAACAAAGAGGCTGGGCCAGCTTCCCTCAGTTTATCATCCTCAGAAAATACCCCCCTCTGCTCATACTTGACACCTATCAACTTCTTCATATTTAGCATAAACACACACAATTTCTCTGTTTCTCTGGGCCTCCATTTCCACAGGTCTCAGTTGAAACCAAGCCCTTGCTCAATTGGCCACAACTTTCTGCTAGGAATTTTCTAAAAGATTTACAATTATAATATATATATATATATCTTTGCATCTCAGAAGCATCACTCAAGGACCAAAGAGCCATTCCCAAGAGTATAATTGTCAAAAGAATGAACCAGCCCAGGTACCTGTCAACAGATGAATGGATTGAAAAAAAAATGTGACATAGATGCACAATGGAAGTTTTATATATCTATAAAGAAGAATAAAATTGGGTCATTTGCAGGAAAATGGATGGAATTGGAAAATATCATGCTAAGTGAATAAGCCAGACTCAGACAGACAAGGTAGTGTGTTCATTCTCATATATGGAAGCTAGAGAGAAAAGGCGGGGGGATTTCGTGAAAGTATAGAAGGGAGATCAGTAGAGGATGGGGCGGCAGAAGCAAGATGGGGAGGGGAAGGGAAGGGAAGGAACTGGGGACTAAAACTGGCCAAATTATGTTATTGCATGTACATATATATCACAATGAATCCTCCCACTTGTATAATTATAATGCATTAAAAAAGAGAGAGAGAGACCTCTGTGTCCCAGACTTCACAGGACAGAATCCTAACTTTGATAACTATCAGTCAACAAACAGATACCATAACCTCATGTGCATTGCACTTTTTACTTCTGACTCTACTGAGGCCCTGTATACCCACTCCCACTAAAACACCCAAATCAGAATGGAGTTAAGCTCTTTTCCCCACTGGTAAGCATTTTAAAATAATTTCTTCAAAAATTCCCAATTATCATATATGATCTTTTACAGGACACTTCCTGGAGGCACCTTACATTTTTACACAAGGATGACCCTAAGCTAATGAACCTAAAAATCTAAGACCAGTAGTGGAACATCAGATTCAGGACTGGGAGCTTCATAGACTAGAATCAAGAGTGAGGGGTGCTGACCATGAAATTACAATATAGTAACAAAAGAGTAAAAGCCTTGAAATATGCCAACCGTGTCCAATCAAGACCTGAGACATTATCAAACTCATAACTCCAAAAACCCTTAAAACCCCTCTTCACTGGGCAATCTGGGAGACAGATTTGAGCTTGCTTCCTGTCTTCTTGTCAGGTAACCTTCAATAAAGCTCTTTCTGCAAAATCCGGCATTAAGAGTGTCAGCTTCCATGTGTGTCAGGCAACCAGCCCTTGCTCAGTATAACTGTGACATATAAAATTTACATTAAATGAATTTACATGGTTTTTTTTCTTATTAATATGCCTTTGTTATAGGTGCCTCAGCCCTGATCCTAGTGATGAGAAGAAAAGATATGTCTTTTCCTCTGTCCAGTTTCTTATTCAGGAACTTCTGTAGCAGGGGGTCCATTTCAATTTTAGAGGTGACAGGCATTTGTTTTAAAGGAAAATGAGAGAGTAGGGATGGGGAGCAATCAGGATGTGGAGCAGAGTCAGGGGAGGGGAAATTAAAAAACAGCAGGTAAGATTACTGTTCACAGGCCAAAGGGGCAGGACATCTTGTCCACTGACTGGCATTTATGGAAGTTAGGGTTTTACCCTCTCAAAGAGAAAGGGATTCTATTTCAAAGGAATGGCTTTCAGGTCCTTCTCAGATACATCCCTGGGTTATAGGACATACACTTCTTAAAGGGACAGAGGACGGATTTTCAATTATCAGCTTTCTTTAGTGATTGCTCAGGGGCCCATGGTCAAGTGTTGGCTGGAACAAAAGGCAAATTTCTTTGGGAAACCTTGACCAGGCAGGAACTCAAAGGAGGGCTGGGTCATCCCAGAGGCACAACCTTAAGCTGCAAGAAGCCATGGTAGAGTTCCATGAAGTCTCTGCAGGTTTGGGTGAATTCCTTTGAAAGTTTTTGCTTTCCTAGCAGACAATGGAGAAGGTATGGTGTAGAGCACAGCCTGCTCCAATACCTTTTTCTTTCTAATCTCTAAATCTACCCCCTAAAATCATACAAATCAAGACAATTCATGCCACAATGGCATCATAACTACCATACAACAGATCTTTTCCACCATTTTTCAAGTGCAGTAACAGGTGTTCTGATCCATGTCACACAAAATATGCAGGTGGCTTCTTTTTTCATTTTCCATATGGATGCTTGGTAAGTGTATATACAGAGCGTCAGAAAGCATGTACCCTTTGAGACTAAATTACTTCTTGATAAAGTGGAAATGAGAAAAAGTATTAACTGTTTTATGCTTCTGGGAGAGCACTATTTAATAATAAATCCCCCAACTGTCCAATCACAGAGGATTTGGGAAAAGTGGGAGGCAGATGTAGTTGCTAAGAAAACTGGAGCCTGCTGCTGGCATTCAGTACCTGGGGGTCAGAAATGGGGACTTCCTACAGAATCATCCCACACTACCAAGAAGTATCTAATCCAAAATGCCAATTGTGCCATGTATTGAATTCTGATTTAGTGAAATGCATTAATCCTGTATTAGGATTTTTAGTTGTAAGCAACAGAGCCAACTTTAGCAAGTTTAAGTGGAAAGGGAACTGATTAAAAGGCACTGTGGTGGCGCATGCCTGTAATCCCAGTGGCTTGGGAGGCTGAGACAGGGGGACCTTGAGTTCAAAGCCAGCCTCAGCAAAAGGTGAGGTGCTAAGCAACTTAGTGAGACCCTGTGTCTAAATAAAATACAAAAAAGGGCTGGGGATGTGGCTCAGTGGTCGAGTGCCCCTGAGTTCAATCCCCAGTACCCCCACCCCACCAAAGAAAAGATATTCGGTAGCTCTTGGAATTCTCAGAAGGTCAAGAGAATCAGGATGAGTGGGCCAGCGGCAGAAGCAAGGCCCCATTACACTGCCCAGAGAGACCTTGCTGCTACTGCCTACGAAGAGCATGTTTATTCCAAAAGGACCTTTGCCACTATTGCTCCTGAGAGGTAGATCTCTCTCCACCATCCTCACCAGAACAGAGACTCCACGCAGGGTTTCCTGTTCTTGTTAGAACCCAGGTCCCACATCTGAGCTTCAGTGACCTAGAAGGCTGAGACGGTGAGTTCCAGGCTGCCACACTGGGGTTTCTATCCTGGGGAAGTAGGGCTCACACAGTAGGTAGCTGCATAAACAAAGGAAATGTGCTCAAAGAGATGCTGGGCAGTCACTAAGTGTGACAAATGTACACTAAACCTTCAAAAGTCCTTGTCATATGCCTCTCCCTAAAGACACTCTCCAAGCATGGACCTGATAAAAACAGCTTCCAAATTTGTCTTCCAAAATCTTAAAAAGATATGCCGAGTCTCTCCCTACTGTTGCATATTCCTGCTATTTTTCTACCTCAATTATCATATTAGATATTCTTTGGACTGATGCATATGTATCATTTTCTGGCCACTATAGTTTCTGTCCAACTGTAAAGATTCTTAATTTCTTTGTGTTCTTGCCTCCTACAACTTTATATATCCCACATGAGTGTATTTAAAAAAGATTTTTTTTAATTATGGAGAAGATAAAATATATGTAGTTGAAAAAAAATCAATGAAGAAATTACAGTGCCTTTTGGTTCAAAGATTAACATAGAGATATTGTGCCCCGGTGGTTTGGGATAGGAACTGTGGGGAGTAATTGAGTGTGCTGTACTACTTAGTAATATGATTACTAAAGAACAAAAGCTGCATACACCATATCTGCTTAAGTTGGCAGGACAACAAGCAGAACTGTCAGTTTCCTAAAATGAGTCCAAAAATGTAACATAAATATATAGTACAGTGTCATATAGTAGCTTTTCAGGAATAATTTGAATCATTATAGGAAAAGCAACATTGGTTTACTGGAAACAATGAATTGATTTCTCAGTTTTATTGTTTCTACCTTTTATAACAGAATGTCTTGGCCTTCCCATAAGTGACTAATGATAGGATATGTAGAGAAATAAATATTGCAGTTTTCATTTTGAAATCATCCCAATTACCTGAATCTATCAGTTACATTTAATGGGTACCAGTAAGTGGCTCTGTGCACATAACATTGCAGACGATAATAGTGCCTGCCTTCAGAAGCTCTCAAATTACCTTATAAATGAGCCTTATTATCCCCAAAACAGTTATCCAAGAAAGAAGGGCTGTAGCTTGTATCACAATTTTAAATTCACTGACTCTGAGTGAATTGCTGTAATATTCATTTTTACTGTGAATGAAATAATCTTGAGGTTTGTTTTGTTAGCGTGTGCCCTGCTATCAAATTCACGTAGGGACATGGAAAGTATTTTGTTTTTAAGTGTGCTGGGTTTATTTCTTTTTTAGATGAATTCTATCAAACTGCAGAACTATGTATTCAAGAATGCACCTATGCTTTTTTTGAAGAAAAAATTATTATAGGTGATATTTGAAAGTGCTGAAAACAAAGAGTGACAGAGGGTTATCCATTTATCAATATGTATTTGGAGACACTATAAGTTTGTTTTCTTTGATTATATAAAAAAATAAATTATTGTTATATAACATGGTAGGTGGTTTATGCATCCATAATTGAGTGTACAGAGGGGCAAACCCATCTTATTGACCAGAGTTCTGAAATGACGCTTAGAACATAAAGTCAAGTTGCTTTCATTACCTCTTCCCTGAAACATGGGGTGACTGAGAGGTGACACACTTGGGAGTTTGAAGTAAATAATTTGAATCTTAAGTATGCTTCAGATATAACTCTAGTACAGGTTGAATATCACTAACCCAAACTTTGAAATCTTAAATATTCCAAAATCCAATATTGGGGGCGGGGTCTGGCGTGACACCATTAAGTGGAAAATTTCATATCTGACCTTATGTGTAGGTTGTAGTTAAAATGTAGGCACACTAAAAACTGCATAATTACCTTTAAACTATATAAATAAGGTCTGTATGAAACAAATGGATTTCATGGGTCCTCTACCTTGCTCTTTAGGTCATATGGCCAGAGCATGTTGTCCTCAAATGATCCTGTATATGATACAATCTTTTCTTTTGACAGGGAGGCTGCATGGCTGGTGACAGTGTTGACCAGGGACAGGAGGTGGGGACTGCAGCTTCCACCACCTCAAATATCCCAAAATCTAAAAAATTTCAAAATCTCAAATACTTCTTATCCCAAGCATTTCAGATAACAGATACAAACCTGTATATCTAAAGGGCCTCCAGTTAGTCTATGCTGAGGACTGATACAATCTAAGATTGTACAAATGGGCCCAAGTTAAAAGCCAACAAAATCTTGTTCTGCTATTGAAAATACTACTTTTTATAACCCTTATTCACATACAATCTGCTATTTTTCTAGTGACTGATCCTCCAGAATGTTGGAATATGGCTATAAATGTGAATAGGTGCCACTGGGCTTTCTCTGTATAAATTGACAACCAAACAAGTGAAACAGAATGTAAAGTCTTCTGGAAGTTTAAGCCTCTATTTCCAGTAGATGGGAGAGTGTGGCCCAATCTAGGTGGCTACACACAATGTAGCATGAGTGGTACCATGGCATAGTCACAAAGAATGCTAATCTAGGATTGCTAAAATCACCTGGTCAACCATCTCCAAAGTATAGATTGGGAAGTGAGGCTCAGGAACATGAACTGGTTTGCTCTAGATCATAGCCAGTGGTGGACTCAGTGGTGGAACCTACAGTACCCACCTCCTGTCCCTGGTTAGCACTGTCACCAGCCATGCAGCCTCCCTGTCAAAAGAAAAGACTGTATCATATACAGGATCATTTGAGGACAACATACTCTGGCTGTATGACCTAAAGAGCAATTATTCTATCCCTATTATTCATGGGAATAATGTCATCTTGAACATGTCAGATCCCATACTTAGATTTTGCATTAATGTCATATTAGGTTTTAAAAATGAAAAATTAAGAAATTCTATTTTATACCTTCCATTGTTTTTATAAGCCTGCTTAAATGGATACTTCATTGATAAGGATTAGAATCCTTTATCCTCAAATCACATCAGCTGAACACTCTCATAGTGTTCACAGAAATTCAGATCTGTGTGGGAGCTTGTTTAGTCAAAAGAAAGTGACTTTCCCTTTGTTACACATTCTTAATTTGTGATATATATGGTACTTGGTGAAGAGGGAAGTGATATGTTGTAGAAAGTGTCAGCTTTGAAGTAGAATAGATTCAAAATTAAATTTAGCCAGACTTTTTATTAGCTTTATGATGATGGGCCATCGAACCATGTAGAGCCTCCATTTCCTAATATGAAAAAAGCATTAATTACTTCCTAATAGGATCAGTGAGGATTCAACCATGTGCCCAAATCACCTGACACACAATCTTAGCCTTAGTGGATATTTAACAAGTGGAAAATACGATTCTCAGCTAAAGTCACAGTAAGACGTGGAATCCAGATTAAAAGTGAATACCCTTTCTTAGCCCTTAAGCTTTTCAGATGGACTGGAATAAGATGTTTAAAGACGGATGCTGAGAAGAGCTCTCTTTCCTGAAATACTGTTCACCAGGTTATGAGAGGATGAAAGCAGCACTGGGACATCTGGATTATCGTTTGTGTCCAGATCCCTAACAGCATGGCCTTGGATAAGAACCTCAACTTCTTCCAGTGTGCTTTCTCATTTGAAACACAATGCAAGCTAAAAATATCTTTGCTTTCTACCTAAGGGCTACTTAAGAAGGCCAAGAAGGGCCTCAATCACTGAAAAAAGGTCCATGGCACACAGCTCAGCCCCCGGGCTTCTGCCCTGGGTGGGTCTAGTCCTTTTGTCTTTGCTATTGATGTCACTTCAATGATACATGGTTAATTGTTCATAGGACACTATTTAGATTTTATTTGAATTTAATGTTCTGTTGTTAATTCTCTGTGAAGCTGACTTACTTGAAATGGTTTAAAAGTCTAGAGTTGATGGTGCTTTGACAACTGTGCTCTTTTAGCATGAAGGAAAGAACATACAGTGAACAAACACTGAAACCATCAGAGCTCCTATTCCTGGTTTCAGTGAACCAGCACAGAACCAACAACTTCCAAGAGTAAGAAAAAGAAAGGAAAGGCAACAAGGGAAAACAATACATTTATTAAGAGGCATGAAAATGCATAAACTCACTTATAAATAAATGTAATATAATTTATCCAGTGAAAAAATAGCTAAAATCCATGAGCAAACTGGATTTTATATTTGAATGATTACATATTTGATCTCCAATCATTTCTCCTTCCATCATGATCTATGAGTAGCAGCAATTTTACAATGACTATAGAAAAAAAGCTGTTATCAATAATCATATGGGGAGAAATTTTTCAAGAATGCTCTTTAAAATTGAACCAGTGCAAACAAATTCAAATTATAAAGGATATGATAAGACCTGGGGCTTATCTTCAAAAAAGTAGAAAATAAAATCTGAAACATTCATTCATTAAGAAATGACAAAGCAAATTACATTTTGATCAGTGAAAAATAATACATATGGATATTATAAAACATTTATAACCAGTGATTACAATTACTATATTTATAAATGTTCATTCAAGTACTATTAATGTTCAATAAACATTCAAATTTTCATTAAAAGTAACACTAAATGTAGACAGCTGGACAATGCTTCTTTTGATTTTAATATCATGTCAACAGGAAGCAAGTGACCCTTAAAATACTGTTGTTGGTTTTGTTTTTTCTGTAATTGATTTTTTTCACAGTCTGTATTTTTTTGTCTGCAAAGACCCAAGAAACATCTCACAACAGCTAATTAGGAAGTCATTTCTATAAAATGACTCAATATTACAGAAACAATTATTCTAAAACACAAGTTTAGCTCAAAAAATAACAGGGCAAAATTGGTTTTCTTTGGCAAGAAATTCCTTACCAAATGTTGGTTCACTGTTGTATAGAACCTATCAGAATACTTTGGTATTTACCAAAGAGATATTTAAGAAGCTGCAAAGATTTCATAACTATGTTATCATGATAACAACAAAAAGCTTATGTCAAAGTCGCGCTGAATTCAACATGATTTACTTGATTACTATTGTCAATAAGTCTTCCTTCAAAAAGCTCCCTCCTAATTTTGGCCTGAGTCTCAGGCTTTAATAAAAGTTCCTTTATCTGTTGCACCTTGGCCTTGAGACCCATCCTTTCTCGATGTAAAGCTTCATTAATTAAGTCTTGAATTCCAACAGGTTTCTTGCCTAAGGGAAAAAATTATATAATACATTTAAAGTACAAATGTCAATGAAATACATTAAATATGGCATATTGACTTATCAAAATAAGGTTAAAAACCCTTTGAAATGTTGCCATTTTATAGAAAAGGTTTCATTTGCAGAAAATATATCATTTACATGAAACATAATTTACTGTAAAGAAGATCACTACCCAATGACAGCACACTGAGAACAACATAAAACATTATGGATTAACTACACAGATGATAATCTCAACAGTGATGAATTTAAATTTAGCACTTGATAGCTGTGTGTGAGTTTTGGCCTCAGATAAATTAGTCAAATGTCCTACACAATATAAATGGCAGTGTTCCATTTATGGCAAGACCTCTCCTGCAGCTTCTAAGTCCAGGAGGCGTGATCTAAAGGTCCCCCTCCCTTGTGCCTGGCTGAGGGCAAGTGAAACTTGGGCCATCTTTCTTCCAGAAATTAATTTCCCCTGCTAGTCCCAGCATTCCATTTCTCTTCTGTTGTTTCAGAAATGCAAAGGCATCTATCATGAAAGCGTTGGGCAACCTCCATGGATTCGATAAGAGAGATGCTTAAAAAGCACATTGCAAGTCAGTCCCGAGCCTTGGCAGAGGGGAGCAGGATGCTTTTCACAGAGCAGCAGGAATCTGCTGGGGTCTCATTTCCTGTTGTTATCACTGTCATTGCCATTCCGCTCAGCCTCTTCGATTTTCACAGAGCTCCCTTCCCCGAGCTGCTTTTTGTTCTGTGTCTCTTCCAGATACTGCTGCACAGCCTTGAGCACCGCGTTCTCCACCAGCCTCTTACTGAGCCTTACCAGTTCAGCATCATCCGGCTCCCCTCCGTCCTTTTCACCTACATTCCACAACAGAGAAGAGAGGTCACTGAGCTCATATTACCATAGCAACTCAGCCATGCAGGGGCCAGCTAGTTCAGCTAGTTAAAAAGAGCAAGTGTCCTTCAATCTGGTAAATTAGGTCTATAAATCCAAGAACAGTGGGTTGTCTTTTCATATGGTATTTGCAGAAGTAGGAGCCTGACTATTCCTGAAGATTTCAGGGTAAAAAGCAATTCATTAGGTCCAATCTAGAAACACCAACTAGCAATACTGCTAGTTTCCCATTTCTAGGCAGAATGTTTGTTCTCTCTTCCAAAGCTAACTCCTACTACTGAAGTGCATCTGCCCACCACCTAGAGCCTCAGACATGTGAATTTACCTCCTTCTCTCTCTCCAATGCCAGCTCTGAGATCATCAAGACTCCCCTATCATCTCATTGCTTGGGATCACTAATTTTAAAATGCTTATCCTGTAGATTGGTTGTTAAACTCTCAGCACTCCCATAAAGACAAAAGCAGTTATTACCACTAGAAACTGATTGAAAATAAGCAAATATAACTAATAATTTTCTTTTAAATCTCAGTGCTATTACTGCAATTTAAGAAACAAAAAGTTCTTCAAATAAGAGTTAGGAGTATGAGGGCAAATTACTAGATGCTACTATCTTATGGTTATTTTAATTCCCTACTAGTGATAATCCAGGTTTAAGAATTCTACCCTTCATCTTACTATAAAAGAACTAGTTCCTTTCTATTCTCATGCTACACGCTGCCCAGTCACTCTCTTCCCCTTTTGCTTTTACTGAGGAACAAAGGGCTCTTTCCCCATGTCCATTTAGCACCCTATCTTCTTCCACTAAGGTGTGATCCCAGGAAGGCAGATGGCTAGAAGCAAAGAAGTTACCAGAATGTTCACCCATTAAGCTCAGCTCAATTTTTGGAAAGTCTCATAAGCTCCAGAAGGCAAAACCTGTGTTGCTCTTACATATTCAGGTTGAAAACAGGCAGATAACACAAAGGATCTAAGCTGGAAGGTGGGCATTATTTTCTATCTTCAGTGTAACAGGAATTGAAGAACAAAAACAGACATGCAAAAGGTAAGGTTGGGCCCCATCACTCCTTTGGAGCCCTATCATTTTTCTGTAATGTACATTCAAGACCAATTCTACTTATAACTGCCCCCATCTTTCCTGGAGTCATCCCAAGCAGAAGAGTAGATGGGTTAAGACCTTTCATCTAGAGACACTAACAGAAGGAAGCCTTAAAGACTGATTTCCCTTTAAATGTGAAAATATGACATCTAAGACCTATGATCAAAGGTCTAAGACAAAACATTTTCAGTGCAAAATAAGTTTAGAATTGAGTAAGCGTCAACTTGGTGGTAACTGCATAGAATCTACTAAACATAAATACGCCAGGATATTTGAAATGAAAGATAAACAAATTCACTACTAGTATGACTTTTGGTTACAAGTTTAAGTTCAGATTGTTTTTACCAGTAAGAATGAATGAGTACACTGAAAAACAAAAGATTTTATCTCAATCTTAAACACAGTGTTTATACTACATAGACGGTATCTCCTAGTATGCACGAGATGCACACGAGATGCACGAGAGAACCCACAGCAAGGCTCTTCGCAGAGCCCTGCAAGAACACAGTGCATCTTCATTCCTGTAAGAATTCATGTGTTCTCACTCTTAGCAGACTTAATTCAACTTAATTTAAGAAATGAATTTTTAAAAATAGACCTCATGAAAATAGAAGGGAGACCAGTAGGAGCTGAAGAAGGGGATCAGACAAGGGAGGTGAGGAGGGAAAAGGGGAGCTCACTGGGGAATGAAATTGATCAAATGATATTTTGTGCATATCACAATGAATCCCGCGGTCACATATAATCATAGTGTATATCAATTTTAAAAAGAGGCATTTTAAGATAAAGTTCTGCTGTGTTTTTCTTCTTTATTACTTGAATAAGGGTATCTGCCTCTCACAGTGACCTCTAAGATGAATGACTAAATTGGTACCAGGGATTGAATCCAGGGCACTCTATCACTGAACCACATCCCCAGTCACCTTTCCTTACCCACCTTTTTAAAAATTTTATTTAGAGACGGGGTCTCGCTTATGTTGCTTTGTGCCTAAGTTGCTATGACTGGCTTTGAACTTGTGATCCTCCTGCTTCAGCCTCCAGAGCCACTGGGATCACAGGTATGTGCCACATGCCTGGCTTCACACAAACTATCTTTAGATATTCCAACAAATATACCCAAAGCATCAGACTCTTGATTAAAAATATCCTTTCTAGGCCTATTTGATTTACTTAATATTATATCTACCTAAAATAGCAGACTAACCTTTGTCTTTGACATGTTATTTTAGAAATCTCCTGAAAATATCCTTGATCAATTTTAGGAGAATATAAAAAATATAAAAGAAAAGCAATAAAAAATAAATCTTTAAAGCCCACCAAGTACAGTACTGTACTGAAAGGAACATCCTTAAGAAACTTTTCAGCAAACTTCAAGTAAGCAAGTGTAACTCTCCATAGAGTTGTGGCAACATTAACCCTCGATTTGGACCTATGATTCTGCTTTTGTTTATGTTACCTGAGATTTCTAATACCAATCCATGCAAGGATACAGTTTATTTTTGTGGTCATAAAAATAAAATAAGTGAACTCCTTAGTGGTAACAAGAATATTTTATACCTACTAGAATAATTTAAGATCAACATTAATGTGACTCAGTTAGTCTTATGTGTGAGTTGACCCAACAGTAGCTGATGTCAACATGAAGGGTCCCAGAAACCTTTACCATCCCCTACCCATCACCGGTATCTAGGTGTCTATTTGTCCTAACTGAATAAGTCATGCTTATTTGTTTTTTAAAAGGGATCAAAGAAAATATTCTTTAGAATATAATGTAAGACATGGAGGGTACAATCACATTAAAATGAGAGCATTCAAATATTAAAACATTAAATGTTGTTACTTGAACACATTCCAACTATTAAAAATCTTATTTGGGGAAAATGAGAACTTCTTCATGCCCGAGGGGCTGCATCCAGTGCGTCTAGGGCTTCACCCCACCACAAAATGAATATGCCATAAATGCTATGAGTATTGTTTGGATTGCCATGATAAAATAAGGAAGGAAAGCCAAGAGGCACATAAATGTTCAAAAAAGGCAAAAACAAACAAACAAATAAAAAAGACTGGTCTGAAGGCTAAGCTCTACCAAAAGCAGCTCCATGATGAGAAAATGCAAATGAAAAAGAGCAAGATGCCTGAAGAAAGAAACAGCACGCAAAAGAATGCGAAAAGGCCCCACCCACAGCAGTACCTGGCTATCTGCTGGACACAGAGTCCCAAGCTAAGGCACTCTCCAAGATGGTTAAACAAAACAAAAACTGAAGGCAGAAAAATGGAAAGTCCTGCCCATTGCTCTTGCCCAGGGGGAAACAGAGGTATTAAAAGTTATTGAGACAGAAAAGAAAAAAAGATGGCATGGACCAGGATGGTTAAAAAGTCCTCTATGTTGGAGATAAAACCACCTAAATATGAAAGATTTATTAGGCCAATGAGTTTATGTTTCAGTAAGGCCATCCTGAACTGAATGCCACCTCTGGCCTGCCAGTACATCCCCACCATTTACAATTGTGGGTATTATTACCAAAGGCACTGTCATTGAGGTGAACATGAGTATTAGGCTTCTGACACAAGGAGGCAGGATTACTTGGGAAAAATATGTCCAGGTTATCAACAATCCTGAAAATAATGGATGCATAAATGTATCCTTACTGACTCTGTTACAGGATAAGAGCCTGCCACAGAGCTGAGGCAGCCAAGGCAGTCCTTTCTTACTGCTTCTTGCATCACACCAGAAAGATTTCAGATATGTTGCACAGAGTAGCAGGCATGAGTTTATTAGAGCATGAGTTTATTAGAAGGCACAGGGAAAAGGAAACAGGACACTCTCAAGGGAGAAGAGTGTTTCCACTCAGAGAGGAAGACAGCACACCCCTCCTGTCCTTCAATTTTATTGAAGGGTTCCAGGGAAGTTTCCAAAGAGTTCCACCCAGGTTCACCTCTTGACTGACAGTGGGATTATATCAAAATTCCAAGTCTCCACTGCACATGGTAAAGGCTCAGGGCAAC